AGTTTTATATTTTTTATTTTCTTTAACAAAAATTACTAATTATATGTCAAAGTTTATTTAAATTCAATGTTTATTAATTCTGTAGGTGTACCTAAGGCCAAGATGGCATCGAAAAATTTAAATATTTAGTTATCTAAACATTCTTAAGTTAATATTGGCCAAGATTATATAAGGTTACCTAAAAAAGTGTAATTTCATGGTACTCATTTGTCGCCCAAGATTGTATAAGGTTACCTAAAAGAGTGTAACTTCATGATTATTCATTTGTGGATATCTAAATGTTTAAGTTTTAATTATGAGTGCTAAAACCAAGTTTTTCAAGGTCTACCTAACACGCTGCTAAGCTTATGAATATTCAAGAATATAGCAACATCATATTATAACATATAAATAGGCCATTAAGGCTAGAAGAATATTCTATTTTATTTTTACTCATTAATTATAGGATGACAAAATGGGTCACCTAAATTAGTTTCAATCCAGGTCGCTAAAATTGGGTTAGGCCAACCAGACTTGCCAAACAAAAACAGTTTGGACGCCTTGGCCCCTTGTAGGGTGGGTTGGCGAGCCGAAAAAAAAAAGAAAAGAAATAAAAAGAAGTTTGCATATTTATTCTAGGTGCTTCTTCTAACATATTTCTTTTCAATATCTAAAAGACCCATATAAATTTGTGCACCTAAATAATAAAATAAATATCAAATTACAATAGATTTATTTTGATTTTTTGCGTAACAAAATAAATATGTAATTATAATATTAATAACACTTGCAAAAAATTTGTTGCACTACAAATATTATATTACATATAATAAAATAAATCAAATGCACAATAGATTTGTTGCACAACAAATCATAAATGACACATATAATAAATTTGGTGTGGCTTAGTTAAACTTAACCTTAAAATAATAAATAAAATTTAAACGGTCCATTGAGCCAACTCATCTTAACTCCCCATTGGACTTGATAGGTTGACAAGTAAAGTAAAACGAGTTGACAAGTTATGATGTCTAACCTAATCTAATAATTTTTGGATAATTAGTGGATTGACTAATTGTGACTTATAATTAAATCTTCTCTTGTGAACATTAATTTGAGTTTTGAAGTTACACATAATTCTAAAAAGATCTTGTAAAGATATTTTATCTATCTCAACAAATATTGAAAACTTATTTTATTTGATAATATAAAATTTAATTAATGTTCATAATACACCTGTTTTTTTTTCTTCTCATTTTAATGCACTTGGTATTATTAAATGAGTTTCATGAGACTCGTGATATTTAATGTATAAAACTAAAGGCTTAGTACCTTTTACAAAGTTTTCCACCTTTGTTTTACGAACTTGGGGCCAAAAGTATTATTTTGGTTGATTAAAATTTTTGTCATTTTGTTATTATTGACTCCATAAGAAATTTATATCATTCTAAAGGCCAAACTTGCCACAAGCTTCTGACTTACAATCATACCCACGGAAGTCGGAAATTGACAATATGAGATGTGTATAAAGGAAAAATAATTTGGACCGCGCATTGAAGTGGACATAATCAAAGCCAGGCGTGGGTATTGGTTTTTCAATCGGACAAAATGTAGGTATATTATATTTTAGGTAAGATTAGTGTTATTTTTTTAATAAAAGTTAAGATTTTATTTTAATAACATGTAAATATATATTAATGAGATATGTATACTAAATATATGTATATATTAATGAGAAAAATTTTTAATTTTAATTAAAGAACAAAATCGATTATACTTAAAAAAATTAAATCTAAATTTTGCCATTTTCAATTATCTCAAATGTAAAATTGGTGTTAGATAAATATTAGAAATAAAAAAATTAAGAATTATGATATTTAATTTGCATTCTATAAAATCTTACACCTCACTAATATATTCAAGCAAGGTTGGTCCTGCTTTTTTTTTGTGATATAGACGAAAAAAAAAATAATGCCTTCAGAGAGATTAAGAATAAATGACAGAGAGAAAATCATCTTTATTTATTAACACAAGAAAGGTTTAGGTTAAGAGAAATAGTCAATGATATATCTTATTTTCTTCTTTATATTTGAAATCATTAACTTATTTTCTTAAAATTATGCGTAAATTTTTTTAAAAAATTGTGGTATGATTTTTTTTCGAGAAATAAAACATCACCTATCAATTGATTAATTGATTAATTATTAGTGATTAAATTATCTTTTATAATATTATTTTATATAATTAAATTATATAAATTTTATTTTAAATTTTATATAGGCAAAAATTTATTTTTGATGCCAATTTAAAATTGGGACCTGAAAAATTACCTACCTTAACTATGCTCAGAACCGTTATTATAGTCAAGTATTTGAATGCGATTAGGAGAAGAAATAATTTGTTTCTTTCTACCGTTACACACAAAAAGTATTCCTCGATCCTTCCCCCAATGATTAATTGATATGAGCCATAAAATTTTGTAAATTAATTTTTTTTATAATTTTTTTATAAAAATATATTTATCATTTAACTTTTGAATCACCTTTCAATTATGTAAATAAATTTTATAATATAATATTTAAAATATAAATATGTATTATTGAATTACACATCTAATTATAATTATCTGAATGATTTATAATTGATAAACATAACCGTTAAAGTAATACGATATAACTAATATTGAATTAGGTTGACAAAAATTATGAAAAATAATAAATATGCCATTTTATAATTAATGTTCTTTACCTAATTTTGATTGATATTGTCGTCCAATAATTATCTCACAAGTAATTAATTTCAAATTAAATAAACCTAATAACACGTTTGACACATTTGAAATATAAAATCTAATTAAAAAATATGGAACATATTTAAGTGCGGTTCCTACCTTAATTAATTAACTCGTGAGTTAGAGAATTCCTTTAGTTAACAAGTCTATAACACTATTTGTAAATTTAAGCACTTAGATTGTCTACTCATCCACCTTAGCGTGAGCATTAGATCATTATTAACTTATTTTGCACTAAGATAATTTTCAACCAATAAGTCTTATGCTGAGAAACACCTCTAATTCTTGAAAAATATCAACAATAATGATTAAAATTTAAAGTGGAGGTATCTCGCAGAATTATATATATA